AAATCTTAGCGACAGTCGAATCTTGTAAGCGACTTCAACATATACATACATTTAATTTGTTGCTATTTAATTTCGTGTGACATAATTCTTGTTCCTTTTAATAAAATGAACAGTAATTAAACATTGATATGACAAAAAATTTTGTTCGATACGTTATGTTGAAAGGTAAGTGATAAGAACTTGATTTTCGACAACTGGAGTGAAGCCAATTATTTTCTGATTTCCTTTCAAGTTATTGATTTTCATAGCGATAACTTTAAAAACTCTATAAATTTAAAAACGAAAATCTTAGACGTGAAAAGAAATTTATTATGATTTACAATGCCGATAAAAATTACTGTAAAAAATTTCGGGGAAAAAAATATTTTTTAGTTTTCTTTAACTAAAAAAAATTTTTTGTCTCTTCAATTTACAAAAATTGACGTTTAAATTAATTTTTGAAAACGGTTGGAGCTTTTCGGAAAAAAAAAATTTTTTACGAAATTTTTGGGTTACTCAATTTCGCCCCCCTCCCCCCTTCTATTCTTATATTATTTTTTCGGTGGGGCTGTTATCTTTTATCAGTAAGCAAACTTTTGATGACTACTGTAGTATAAGGTATGATTGACTGAATTATCTTTATAAAACTAATTACCAGAGGTAAAAGGTGGCAAGTATGTAGCTGGTGGAGGCGGAATCCCAGAATTCGTTGGTAACATAAATGGAACTCTTGGCCGCTCATAATTGTATCCCGCTCCTGCTTGGCGTGTAGGACGTCGTTGGAGTGCAACGGAAATCGTGATTACTATAAATATCTCCAACTAAAAATCAAAACATGAATAATAATTGATCGAATAATTATGCCATGATTATTTACTTACCCATTTTAGTAACTGCATAATCTGTTTCGATAAATGTTGGAATCACATAATGTTTCTCTTTATACAAGCTTTCGACGTTTATATAGAAATCATATTTTAAAAGAAACCACAGTATTAATAATACTTATTACTATCAGTTAATACAAATGCCTCAAACTTGTTATAATAGTAGCTTAGATAACTTTATTCTATAATATATTTTCATTCATAAAAAAACTAGAAATTGTGAAAATAGATTGTTTTTCATTTCTATAAATATTTAAGAAACTATGAGTTCTTCCTTTCTTTTTATCTTTGAATAATTACCTATCGATGAGAATTTTTTATTTTTACAATTAAAAAAAAAGAATTGATTAGCACTCGCTGTTTGTTGTAAATTTTTCAAGCTTAATTTCAAAAAAAAATTTTTTTTTCAGCTTATTATCATACTTAAGGATTTCTATCAAAATATTATCTCAGTGAATTATATCAGGTTATTAAATGCAATTTTATAAAGGCTTTCATTCATTGCAAAATAATAAGTTATGAAGATAACACGCCATTTTTTCAATGATGTTCAAGAAGAAATTATGTGGTTTCAAAAACTAAATACACTGCAATCGTAATTATTTGCTAATACTTATTTAAAGCTAACTTGTTTGATTACGAAATCATTTGAGTATAATAATGCGGTAATATGATGAAATAGTTATTTAATGTGACTTGGAAATCAAACAAACTAAGACCATCAGCTCAAGTTTTAAATAATGAAAAACATAGAATAATGCATATGATTCTATTTATTGAAATAAAGCTTAGTGTCAGTATATTTTCGCTCATCTATCGGTCTTCGGGTGTGTACGAATCTTTCATACACAAAATAAAATATCATTCGGCCTCACCCGAAATGGAAGGTAGATTTCATTTCATATAAAATTCTCTTTATTTTCACTATTATAATTTGTTGAAAACCAAATTTTTAAATTAATTACAATAAAGAAGTTCTGCAAACGTTTTCTTGGTGTATTTACTGTTTGGATAATTATCTTGGACTAGTTCGAAGATGAGCAAAATCTATTTATGATTTTTTAATAATAAATGATCAATTGTAGCGTTTACTACAGTGAAAAAAAAACTGTAGCTGCTACAGGTCCTAGGCCTGTAGCGTGTTCCTGTAGCAGCAACATTTTATGCGTGTAGCACCCGTATGAAAAGTACATATATGATGATATTGTATAGCAAAATATAAAACTATTAGGTGTTAATATATTCGGCGAAATTCGCTGTATGGTAATATTATATTTTCCTATTATAATGAAAATGTAATTAAGAAATAGAAGTTAAATTATAAAATTCATAATATATGAAGGTATATTTAATTTATAACTGAATATATATTTCAATAATATACATTCCGAGTGTAAGTTGAAAATATATTAAACAATTATAAGTAAATATAATGAATTAATTTATACTCTACATATATATTGATATTTATAATCTTTATTACAATTCAATTATCCAATAAAATATATATTGACGATCATATATTGCAGTTTACATCTCAAGTTATATAAAATAATATATTTCAATATATTAATGAAAAAAAGGAGGCTATATCGAGATATTTGAGAAAAAACAAATGGTCGTGCCTAGTCAAACGTGAAAAATGATCGAAGATCAAGGCTGATTAGGAATGAAGTGCGATGGGCAGACATTAATAGGCGTAATCATTAAGAACTTCATGTATTAAATGCTTTAAATAAGATTATCCATGAACAGGCAGTATGTCTGATTATTTCTTCCTCGAAACAGATTGTTCAAAAAATCAAATCAGCTAAATGCTCCAAGCATCATAAGTATATGGATAGTTTTTGAAGTCATTTTGTTGATGGATTTTCGATTGATCTTTTAAGCTGGTATTTTTGATTCCAAAGATAAAAAATACTACCACCCACACGGGGAAAAATTAATTATACTACCTACTATACAAAAATAGTAACTCCTACTATCTAAAATGGTAATAAAATAAATTAGTAACAAAATATTAGGTGGTATCATTGACAATTGTAATAGTTATTATTAATAATGGTAACGATTACTATCGAAAATAATAATTGTAATTATTATAAATTATAACTGTTAAAATCAAAGATGGTAACTGTAACCATCTCAGATTGTAAAAATTCTGAAAGAAAAAATAATATAAATTTA